CATCACTACAGACAGTCACTATGCTGTTACTACCAAGTATGTCCTCCATTTGATTGATAGAGAAAGCGGGCTTCTCACCACTGTGGGAAAGGACATTAAAAATAAAGACAGATCTTGGTCCTCTTAGAGTGTATTTAGCTTCCCGTGTGAATTACTGTCCTCCACTGCTGGGCTACTGACCTGGCAGTCTGATAAATGGCCCGAAGACCAGTAGGGCTTATTGATATTCTGATGGCATACACCAACTTGGGCTGCCTGAGACTCGATGGAAAAGAAGAAATGGACAGCTCACTCACACACACACACACACACACACACACACACACACACACACACACACACACACACACACACAGGTTGATGGAGGACACCAGAGAGAAAGCTCTTTCTCCCAGAAACAATTTCACCAGCCTACTCATCTGGGGTCCACAAAAATTTCTGACAGTTGCTCAGGTTAAGGTATTTTATACCTAGACTGAATGCCTAGCATGGGATACCTCAGGCAGATGCCAGATTTGTGCTCAAGTAAATCCCAAACAGAGAGCCCTTACCTAGGAAGTGGTCCAAATGACAGACTAACAGCCCTGCAGACTGGGAAAACTGACTTCACTGAGATCACCCTGGCCAAGAAGAACAAAAGTACTTGGTTGGTTTTAGATACCTACTCTGGGTAGAAGAGTTCATTCCCCACCTGGACCAGAACTGCTGAAATAGCCTAAAAGCTCCTCCATGACCTGACTTGGCTTTCCCCTAGCAAAGGGATCAGACCATGGCCAGGCTTTCATAGCCAAAACTCCTCAATTAATAGCAAAGAAAATTGAAATTTGAAAACTTCATTGTTCATATAGATCTCAGAGTTCTGGGCAGGTAGAAAGAATAAATGAAACAGTAAAAGAAGGTCTAACAAAACTTTCATTAGGGTCCAGGGAAAGGTAGACAGACTGCCTGCCTTTGCTTTGTGCCCGCCCCCATACAGGGAGAGATTTACCCCTATGAGATAGTGTTTGAAAGAGGCTTTCGAGGCTCAGAGAACAGCAGCCGGCAGAATTCTCTAACCATTCCTTTCTCGTTACAGGCCCTCCATACAGGCTGTGGATTGGACTATCTGAGAGACCCAACCAAAAATCCACCACCAGTTTCCCTTGAGAAACCATCTGGGTCAAGTGGGTAGCCAAGTGTGCTGGAAATAACTTGGAAAAGACCCTTCAAGGTGATTCTGTCCATTCCCATGGCCTTGAAGGTAGCTGACATTGCACCATGGATCCAGCATACCCATGTCAAGAGAGTAGAGGCCATGAATGTCACTGCCAAATAGACTGTATTCTAGACTATGGACCCATTAAAATTAAGGTTTTATCAAGTCCCAGGCCCTTCCAATCCCTTTCCCTTTCCCTCCCTCTGAACATTAAGTTTGGTATAAATACAGGATTATGGTCCAACTCCCACCACCCTCAGGCCTGGGCCTGGGAACTAAGGAAGACAGATGCAGGGAAGGTATTAGCTAATGTGACCACAGACCAGTAACCCATATTCATTTGGACCAATGCTTGCTGATGCCCAATTTAAATGACTGATTGTACTGGATGAAAGAAAGATGTAGGAGTATATCTTTTGAGATACGAATACCTAGAGTTTACAGTTCTATACGTGCCCTGTGGCTGGGCCCCATAGCTGCCAGGATCGAGGGAGCTCCCACTGCAAAACCTTGGGTTGTAAAACTGAGGCTTCATGAAAAATTCTTTTTAAAAAAGATTCTGGCCTTTGAGAAGCAAGAAGAACCTGGGGAATCAGACTCTATGCTACAGGAAGGGAACCTGGGGACAGAGTTAATCATTACCAGCCAGAAATTGGTCAGGATTGCTAGTTAGGCTTAGACATCAGGACCCTGTAGTAAATAGTGATAGGAACTAACCAGACTGTCAACCCATTGACTGACTAAACTCATTGTGACTACGAGCAGCCAACATTAATGTTAGAAGACTTACAAGAGACTAAAATTTGCCTAATATACAGAACCTTTAACCAAAGCACTTCCCCTAATTCTCATGCCTGCTAACTTATCTAGACAATAGCCATATTGCTGGGCCCATGAGACTACTTGGTGGGCACATACTAATGATTTGACTATATATGCCTCCCAGATGCTTTCTGAACTGAGAAACCTTTTTTATGCATCTTCGTAGACGGTTTGATCAGGAACTAGAGGCATTAAGTTTCCATGTCAGAATTAAAGCGACAGTTAGATTGCCTCACAGAAGTGATCCTACAAAATTGAAGACTGTTAGACTTAATTCTCCTGAGATAAGGGGACTATATATTTATGTATGGCTTTGGGAAAAAACCCTTTGTTTCTATACTAATTAATATGGATTAATCAGAGAAAATCTTGCCATGGTTAGGGAAAACCTCAAAGAAAAAGATGAAGGTATAAATGAAAAGAAAGAAATGATAGCAGTTTTTATTCTCTTGGTCCCCCTGCCTAGCTACTCTGATATTGGCAGTGTTTGGGCCTTTCATTCTCATTCTAATTGGATTACCAGTGCCCCTGCCCAATCTTAAACTATATGGCCAATTATGTATCAGTGCAGTAAATTAACGGTCCTTAGGACCAACTACACCTCTTTTTTTTTTCATATTTATTTATTTATTTATTTTTCTATTATCAGCTTGATACAGCATAAATTCTTATCCTAATAGTGAAATGTTTCATTGAGGCTTGTCCACTAATTGAGTAAAACCAAAACTTATAAGCCATAGTCATCCTAGGGTCCCTCCTGCTATATAGCCTCCCTGGTTCTGTGGCTTGCAGTCTGATTGTTCTTTGCTTTATGTCTAGTATCCACTTATGCCAACTACACCTCTTTAGAGCAGCATGACTCCATGATTGAGCCGTTCACGAAGACCAGCGGGGAATGTAGCAGGACCTCAGACTTCGGAGGCTCCCAGACCTTAGCACAACCAAATCCATGATGGCATTACTATTCAGGCTGTAAAACTCAGCATGCAGACAACACCACCTGCCAAAACTACAATAAAGGCCTAATCCATCAGATTCCATAAATCTCTAAGAGTAATAGCCTTGCTTTTGGTCCTGGACATACCCTTTCACACACGGTGCCATGGAGAGAGGATTACTGATACTTAAAGGTCAACCTTGGCTACATAATGAGTTCCGGGTAGGTCTGAGCCATAGTGTGAGGTCATACCTAGAAAAAAATGAAAATAATAAACAGGCAATAAAACCCAGAGTTTGTAGTGAAGTACCATGGATGGGCCTGGGACCCTGACAACAATAACTTTTTACAGTTTCCCAAACTTTTCACACTTCCCAACCCTGAGTTTTCTTTGGTAATCTAAGATTTATGTTGAGACAGGGTCTTTCCTTGTGGCTAAGATTGATGTGATACTCCAACACTCAGCAATCCTCCTGTGTCAGCCTTCCTCCTGCTAGCATTATTGTTGTGAGCCAAGGCACCTGGATGAGCTTTATTCATGTGGCCCTCAGGGTCCTGAGTGTGAGTCAGATTGGGATTACTCTGTTCCTGACAATGGACATGCTCACAGAGAATCTCCTAACAATATCAAAGTACCTGTCTTATGGTTTCTCTTGCTGCAATGAAACACTACGACCAAAAGCAGGCTGGGAAGGAAAGGATTTGTCTTACACATCCACATCATAGTCCATCACTGAAGGAAGCCAGGACAGGAACTCAAAGGGCTGACTGGAACCTGGAGGCAGGAGCTGATGCAGAGAACACTGAGGGATGCTGCTTATGGCTTGTTCTCCATAGCTTGCCAGCATGTATTTATATAGAACAAAGGACCAACAACCCAGGGGTGGCCCTACCCACAATGGGCTGGGCCCTCAACATCCATCACTAGTTAAGAAATGTCCTAAAGCAGGATATTACAAAGGAATTCTCTCACATTTCCTAATCGTGAAATCAGTTCTAGAATAAAGAGGCAAGATGGCTGCTCTGTGTCCTGCTCTGTTAGCTACTCAAAAGGTTGAGACAGGAGGATGGCTTGGATCCATTAATGATATGCAAGAATTCTGGAGATGTAGCCAAGAGGGGAGAGAGCTTTCTTGCCTAGAATCACAAACGCTGGGCACTCCAGCACTCCATGACCATGGCCTAGAAGTGAGATATGCCTGCTGTTCGAGAATTCAAGATTTGAGGCATGAGGATCAGAAGTTAAAGATCATTGGCTATATATCAAGTTAGAGGCCAGATGGACTATGTAAAGCTGGTTCTCAAAACAAAAGTGTGTAGCCAGGCAGTGGTGGCTCAAGCCTTTAATCCCAGCAATTGGGAGGCAGAGGCAGGCAGATCTCTGAGTTCAAGGCCAGGCAGAAAGACAGCCAGAACTACAAAGAAACCCCTTCTCAAAAAACCAAAGCAAACAAGAACTGTGCCAAGGAGGTGGGTCCAGAGCATACCAGCTCAGCACAGTGGGTAGAGAAATGAAGTGAAGACTGGGAGCTGAGCCTGGTTTGGTCCCACAGACCTTTAATCCCAGCATTTGAAAGGGAGAAGCAGGAGTATTTCTGTGAGTTTGAGGCTAGCCTGGTCTGCATGAAGAGTTCTAGGCCATTCAAGAACTACAGAGTAATCCCTATTTCAAAAAAGGAATGGGATATGATATATGATGGCTGCTCACACGTATCACATCAAGAGGCAGAAATAGTATTGTTACTTTATTTTTTCTGGGCAAACAAACTAAAACATCAAAATGAAAAACAAATAATTTGTCAGCCATGGCTGTGTGCTTCTTTAATTTCAATGTTCTCTAACTGGCCAATCTATGTGTTTAGGGCCAGAAGTTTCTACATCATGAGTTCCAAGCCTGTCCATGTCACAAAATGAGACTCTGTCTTGATTATTTTAGGACTGGAGAGATGTCAAGAGGCTTAAGAACACAGACTGATCTTTCAAGGACGTAAGTCCCAGCACATCCAGAGACATCCTCAGAGATCCAACTCCTCTCTCTGGCCTCACTTATTTCAATTCTGGAGCACCCTGCAATAAACAGATCCGCATGGTATCTCTTCTCTGTCCGAGCCACAGCATGAAGTCACTATTGTAGTCGTTGAGATCGAGGAACGTGAGGGAGTATTCAGCTACCACCTTCAATTGCTGCTGCTTTCCCTCTGTTGTGGGATCTACTTGTTCAGTCCACCAAGTAGACTTTCTTCCAACACATCCTTCCCAGAAGTCATCGTATATATCCAGCAAACTGAGCACTTGTAGTCTACACCTCCTATGAGTCAGAAAGGAAGGAGGTTCAGATGACAATTATAATCTAATAGATCTCACATCTCAACCTCCCTCCATTACAATCCCTTTGAATTCCACCCATAGCCTTGCCTTCCACACTCAGGCTCACTCACCTAGGCCAAACATTCTGGTTATTCAGCCAATCCACTCCATCCAGCACAGCCTGGAAGTTATCCACCTTGACTTGGCACATCAGCGCCCCAAGAGGGAGGCAGGGGAAGGGCCAAGATACTACCATGGCCTTCACAACCTTTGTTCTTCTCTCAATGAAGGCCTCCTCGAAGAGTGGTGGGAACAACATTGTGGGAAATTCCTCCAGAGCAGAGATGGCCAAGTCTTCATCTGCCAGCAGCCCTTGCATGGCAAGTTGCTGGAGTGTAGGCACAGCCTCGAAGCTCATCTTGAGGAGTTCAGGTAGATAGATTCTGTGGAAGCATCCAGAAAGACATCCTTCAGAGCAAAGCTCAGGAAGGCCTTTGCTCCTCCATTACAGAAATCACCTCAGGGTCAGAGTCACTGTGGACAGTAGAAACCTGGTTTTCCCATTTGACTCTATCTGCTGCTCTCAGAGCCACAGGTCCCTCCAGGCAGCATGGTGGACTGTGATTCATCCATGTGAAAGCCATGGGGTTGCCCAACCCCAACCCCTGCTACCCTGAATCCTATTCCACTGGGGAGTGGGCAACCTGGAGAGAGTGGAGCTTCATTCTTTTAGGGTGAACCATCTCTCCATAAAGACCCTCAAAGGAAAATGAACTGTTCCCTCTGAAGTCTTTCCTCATTCTGTCTTCAACTAATGGGACCTGACTGGAACAATCTGTGAAATGAGTGCAGTTACTTTTGTTTTAAGTACTGAGTCCTCTCTCAGTGTTTGGGAGGATGAGGCAGGAGAATTGCAAATGTGACACTAACCTGAGACCAGGACAGTGTCCAGCACAAGCACAGGAACTGAAGTGAAACAAGTCTTTCAAACAGCAATGAGGACAGGTAAGCACCAGTGTTAGGGACAGCTGGAGAAGCTGGGGACTGTCCCCAAGAGGACCTGCATGTTGCATGCGATGTCAGGGAAGACATATGTGAGAAAACATACTCTAGTGTTAGCTCTAACTGCATTTCATATCCCTGTTTGTGTGTGTGTGTATGTGAGGTGGGGGGAGTGGAAAATAGGATTTCTTTGTGCAGCCCTGGCTGTCCTAGAACTCTCTGTGGACCAGGCTGACCTGGAACTCAGAGATCCACTGTGTTCTGCTTCCAGCACTGCTTCCCAAGTGCTGGCATGCAAGGTGTGTGCAAACGCTTCCCAGTTACTTTTTGGTTTCTTAGATTTGTGTTTTATTGTTATTGTTTTGAGACAGGGTCTTACTATGAGGCATTGTCTGGTCTGAAACTTGCTGTGTAGACCAGCTAGCTGTTCTTCAACTAATGAGATCTGCCTACCACTCCCTGATAATGCTGGGATTCAAAGCAAGCACCTCCACTCCAGGCTTCTATCTCATTTAGACAGAAGGTCTCCCTATGTACTCCAGGCTAGCCAGCTACTGAAGAGCCTCATGCCTCAGCTCAGCCCTCCAAGTCTGAGCTGTCACCCACTCTGTACCTTTAAATTTGAATTTTTTACAGGGTCTTACCAAGTTCCCCTTATCAGAGGTCCTAGCTGACAGACCTTTCAACCTACCAGCCTCAGTTGCCACAGTAGGTAAGGTTAGTGTAGTGGCCTGTTTGCCAATTCTCTTCCCACTATTATTCTTGAGTCCCATGTAAAAGGAAATGTTCATTTACAAAAAGGGGCTGAGGACATAATGCATTCACTTGGAGCCCTGGCTGCTATTATAGAGGACCTGGGCTAGATTCCTAATACCCACAAGGCCGCTTGCACCATATATCAACAAGCAAGACAACTCAAAGATCCTTACAGCTTGTATTTTTGCTGAGGCCATTTCAGGATTAACTAGAATTTGATCTCTATGATGAAGAAGTCCATGGAAAATGACCTAACACTATCCTAGGAAGCCAAGGTCAGGATGGCCTATCTTATCTTAGCCTGTTTGTGTTGGAACCCCTCCAGCTAACTGCTTATCTTAGCTTCTGTTAGACTCCATCCTTTTGGAAGATCCAATCTCCTCCCTGCAGCTGGTAAGTAAGATGCCAGACGTAAAACCATCCCACTCAGGCCACACCTGAGTCTCTGGAATATTTGAGTGTGGTCCCAGCTGGCTCCTCTAAAGACTTTCAGTTGGCTGTAAAGTGTATCTGGGAACCATTTTAGGTGTGCTACCTGTAACAATATGTAAGTCCAGTTGCAGGGGACCTGACCCCATCTTATGTCTTTCATAGGCACACATGGGGTGTAGACATATGTTCAGGCAAACACTTAGACATAAACCAGCATCCATCAAATATTGGTAAAAAGAATACAAACTGAGGAACTGGAGAGATGGCTGAGTGGTTAAGAGCACTGGATGTTCTTCCAGGGCCCCTGAGTTCAATTCCGAACACCCACAGAGCAGCTTACAACTGTCTATAATGGGATCCAATATCCTCTTCTGGTGTGCAGATGGGCATGCACACAATGCACCCATGTATTTTAAATAAATCTTTAAAACAAAGAATACAGGCCGGGCGGTGGTGGCGCACGCCTTTAATCCCAGCACTCGGGAGGCAGAGCCAGGTGGATCTCTGTGAATTCGAGGCCAGCCTGGGCTACCAAGTGAGTCCCAAGAAAGGCTCAAAGCTACACAGAGAAACCCTGTCTCGAAAAACCAAAAAAAAAAAAAACAAAGAATACAAACTGATAAAACCATCAAAAAAAGAAAATCATGGCCAGGCGGTGGTGGCACAAGTCTTTAATCCCAGCACTTGGGAGGCAGAAACAGGCGGTACTTTGAGTTCAAGGCCATCCTGGACTACAAAGTGAGTTCCGGGACAGCAAGGACTAAACAGAGAAACCCTGTCTTAGAAAAAAAAGTCTCAAACTAGGTTGTGGTGGCACAAGCCTTTAATCCCAGCACTAGGCAGGCAGAGGCAGGTGAATCTCTTGAGTTCAAGGCCAGGCTGATATAGTGAGTCCTGGACAGCCAGGGCAACTCAGAGAAACCCTGTGGCTTATAAAAATGAACAACATAATAACTCAGGACTCTAATCCCAAGGTGGGGTGGGTGGGTGGTAGGTAGAGCCTGAAAACAGAGAATGAGATCAGCATGAGCTACTAGAGAACCTTTTAAAAAGAATAGAAATCAGCCGGGCGGTGGTGGCGCACGCCTTTAATCCCAGCACTCGGGAGGCAGAGCCAGGCAGATCTCTGTGAGTTCGAGGCCAGCCTGGACTACCAAGTGAGTCCCAGGAAAGGCGCAAAGCTACACAGAGAAACCCTGTCTCGAAAAACAAAAAAAAAAAAAAAAAAAAGAATAGAAATCAAAGATCACCCAGACCTGCTAGTGAAGGCCGAAGATTTCTGTCTTTCAAGACTAGCTTGATCCACATAGGTTTCAGGACAACCAGGACTACACAATGAGACCCTTTCAAAAATAAATATTTTGGGGTGCTTCTCCCTTGAACTTCCAATTTGAAGTTTTTGTCATTGTTCATTAATAAATCCATGTTCACTCTGCATCTTAACTTTAAAAGGCAGGTGCTGAAGGTACAACCTGGGGGACATGGGTACCTAACTCAAAGGAGGCCCTGGGGGTTCCATCCTCAGCACTCTACAAAGGGGCCACCTTGGTCCAAACCTCCCATTCCAGCACTCAGGAGGTGGAGGCAGGAGGATGGATGACTCCAAGTCATCTCAGCTCCGTATAAATTCTAGTTAGCCTGGGCCACAGGAGACCCTGCTTTAAAATAACAAACCCAACAGCAACAACAATAACAAAAACAGAAATGAGGACTGGAATAATGGCTCTGGCAGAGGACCTGGGTTTGGTTTCCAGCACCATCATGGTGGCCCCAATGAAAGATATCTCCAGTCCCAGGGGTCTCATGTTTCCTCTGACCTCTTGAGGCATCAGACACATACGTGGTACCAATACACAAACGTAGGCCAATCACTTACTCACATGAAATAAAGCAAAATCTTAAAAATTATCTTTAAAAGCCATAAATATTAAATTGGACTGAAAAATAAAAAAAAAGAGAATAGAATTTAACTAGCCAGAAATTCCAGAATTAGAAGGCTGAGGCAGGGCAGACACATTCTTGTAACTTCAACATTCCAGAAAGACAGAAGAAGCAGGATTACAATTCTAGCCAACTGGAGCCACATGGCCACAGTCAGGCCAGTCTAGGAAATCACAGCAAAACCTCACAGGAAAACAAACCATGACTTAACAAACAACATTTGAAATGAAGATAAAGCTGCCCTTGGAGCCAAAACCAGTCTCCAATCTGCTCATCAGAAGAGAGAGAGCCGGGCGGTGGTGGCGCACGCCTTTAATCCCAACACTCGGGAGGCAGAGCCAGGCGGATCTCTGTGAGTTCGAGGCCAGCCTGGGCTACCAAGTGAGTTCCAGGAAAGGCGCAAAGCTACACGGAGAAACCCTGTCTCGAAAAACAACAACAACAACAAAAAAAAAAAAACAGAAGAGAGAGAAAGAGAATTTTCTGATTCAGCCATGGTTTCATGTCCCCAGTGGGGAGTGGCTGGGCAGCGTGTCCTCATATAGGTGAGGGACTTACCAGACACAGGCACTGATGAAAGGTCCCTATTCCCAGCAGGGACAGCAGGTGACTTCAAGATTCCAAGTGTCTCCTCTGGCTCATTTGGGCTTTTAGTCACTCATTTTACTTCTGTTTACAGTCTTATGCACCAACCAAAGGGTGCTACGTCATCAAGTTGGTTGAGACTCCATCCATTTAATCCTAATTGTGATTAGGTGTGTCCAGATTGCTTTAATTGATCACCCTCATGACAGATTGTATGAGACTAGGGGCTGAGACAAGAACACATTCATTAATTCACTGCAGAACATTTCCCTTCCTTCCTTCCTTCCTTCCTTCCTTCCTTCCTTCCTTCCTTCCTCCTGGAATTTTTCTTTTGAGGCAGGACCTTTATATATCCCAAGTTGACCTAGAATTTTCTAAGTAGCCTAAGATAGACAGCATGTCCCCTGTCTCTATCTTCAAAATGCTGGCCTTACATGGGTGAGCCTCAAAGCCCATTTTATTTACCAGTATTTTTTGGGACAGGATCTCATAATATAGTTTGAGCTGGGACCCAAAACTGGAGAGCAATTTGGCCTGCAGAGCTGTGGATTAGAATGCACAAGGCTGGAAACCTCTATGGTGGGAACTGGGCTTACAGTCTCAGCTACTGGGGAGGCTGAGACAGAAGGGTCATCAATTCAGGGCCTGTACACAGTGAGTTCATCACCAGCTTTGGCATGTAGGAAGACCCTGTCTCAAGAC